ACTAACAATAATATTGAGAACTAAAGGACTTTTAACTGCAGAGAGGTTCCCAGCAGCGATTAAGAATTTCCCAGAGATTTCAGACTATCAATGTTGATGTCAGCAACTAGAAACGTGAACAGATAATTGTTTGCCAAATTGTTTTTGTTGCATTTCTTTTCTTATTTTTTTCTTTTTATCTTCAACTGAGTTCAGCATACCAATAATTTATTTTAGTTTTTTTGTGGGATACGTTATATGCACGTGTGTTTCTTTCAATACTTTTATACAATAAATTTGTTCATTTTTTGTTTTTTCAGTTTCTTCTTCCTCTGCTTGGTATTATTGTTGTATGTGTCTGTGTGTGTAAACCTGACAAAGAATAGTGTAGCAAACAAAAAAAAAAAAGAAAAAAAAAAATTGAGAATCAGTTTTAAAATGAGTTTCTCTCAATTTTTTTTTTTTGTTTCGCATACTTTAAAGTCAAGGAAAGTGTCCGCCTGTCAGGTACTCCTCTTTAGCAGTTATTTCGTTTCAAAAGAGCTCTCAACAAAATTTCACATTATTGGGGGCTAGTAGAATAGCGGTTTCTTTTCTTTTCTTTTTTTTTTCGTTCTGAACTTAATGATCAGATCGTGAAGCGATCGATTGCGGAAATGTTACCATGAAAAGTATTCTTTCGTTTTGATATGAGGGCGAAATGCTATTTGCGTTGGTCTCCTTCAGTTTAAGATTTAACAGGAGAAGCGATTATTTGGTAACAAGTGTTATTTTGCAGGCCAAAAAACTCCAAGAGCATATCAGGGCAAAGCAGCGTAGAGATGAGGAGAAGGATCTAAAAGCACGCAGGGAACGCGTAGAACGCGCTAAAGAAGAACATCGACGAGCGGCTGAAAAGCAGAAAGCCGAAGAGGTACAGTAATATATCGCTCTGTGGGTCATGAATTCAAACTCATGAATTTAATTATTTCAATAACACCTATATAAAGGGCTGCGGTAACCATTTCAGGCAGTTCCATCAGACGTCAGAGCGATTTGACGTCATATAGTCCAGTTGCTATCATATCTGTCTTTTTACTTTTTGAGCAGAAGGAACTATCTAATTTGTATCTCACTGCTTTGCCACTCACAGTATCTAGCGCTTTGAAACCCGTGAAAAAGATGATAAGTTCAGTTTAGGATTTTTTTTCACTTTCATGAATATTTCAGGCACAGGGAGGAGCCGGTGAGAGTTTCCCAATGGGATTCGCAGACATATTTCAAGATCCTGAAACTGTAAAACTGATGAATGACCCTCATGTTATGGCAGCAGTTAAGGATGTAATGCTAAACCCGCAAAATATGGCTAAATATAAGAATGATCCACAGGTCGTAAAATTGCTTGAAAAACTGATGGCTGCCACCGGCGGTCCACCGCCTGATATGCCTCCAAAACCGGTACTAGAAAGTTTTTCTTCATTATTGTTATTTAACTGAATTTAAGCTAAGGGAGCGGCCAAAATATATATATCGGGTCCGGTATTTCCTACATTACACTCAACTTTGTAAGCTGGTAATTAATTGAATATCTATCAAATAAGTAAAGGAAAATTTAGGAACCCGCTCCCGATTTTGCTGGACATCCTCCAAAAACGCGTGAGCCAGATCTCGACTAACTGCTAAGTAATTAGAGAGTGGATACGAGGACTATGTTAAAATTCTATATTGATTGTTTTAATTTCCTTAATGTTCGTATAGCAACCTACATAAATAAAAAGTTCTCTGTTTTACCTGGTGTTTATTTTGTTGCAAAAAACAGTGGCTAGTCAATAAAGCACAACATCTCTCCTCGCTCCAAGTTGTCCTTGAAGTTAATTTAAAAATTTGCTGTTTAACTTATCTATTAGAAACTGCTTTAAATTTTGCACTTCAAGGGAAAACTCGGACT